AATTCTGTCTCTCAGAGTGGGAATGCACCTACAATGTGAATTTCAGACCCCTCCATGATTTTTAAGGGAGAGAACTTGCAAAATCGCAGGGTGTTCAAATACTTCTGTTCCTCACTGTATACCCTGTTTCCAGTAAACTTGTTCACCTGTGGAAGGTGTTTTTTGAGCATTCCTCAACTTTCCCAGTCTTTTGTTGCCCCCTGTCCCAGCTCTTTTGGAACGTGTTGCAGGCATCAAATTCAAACTGAGTGAATATTTGCAAAAAAAGAATAAAGTTTATCAGTTTGAACATTAAATATCATGTCTTTGTGGTGTATTCAATTAAATATGGGCCAAAAAGGATTTGACGGTCGTGTTTTTTTTTTTTACATTTTACACAATGTCCCAACTTCTTTGGAATTGGGGTTTGTAGGCTCTTAGCCTTGTTACAATGCAAACTATGTGCTTCTGCAAATTAACAGATTTTGAAAACAATCTGTGTCTAGATGTTGATTAACTTATACTGTTAAGTCCACATTTGTGTGTGTGTGTGTTTTGGGCAGCTTGGTGTGTGGTTTTCCCTCGGCTGTGCCTATTTTGCCCTGGAGGGTTATGAGGGAGCTGCCAAGGCTTTTCAGAGGTGTGTGGGACTAGAGCCAGATGTAAGTACCTCCACACACACAAGAGCAAAGAAAAACAATCACTAATTACATCATAACATGGAAAAGTACAAGCAGAATCAAATAACGGTCCCATGAATTTCTCACTTTAACACTCCTGGTTCCTTATGCACAGTATAACACACACACACACAAACACACCATACAGTAGAATCTGCTTATCTGGCGATAAGCCTCTGTGCATGCTTAAAGATTCCATTTTCTCCACCATTCTTCTATACAGTATGTTCTATAATTATTATTCTCTACACCTCTTATTATCTCCATTCCTCTCATCTCCTCTGTAATTAAATGTTTGATTCCCTTCCTCCTCAGAATGCAGAAGCATGGAACAACCTTTCTACAGCTTACATTCGCCTTCAAAAGAAGTGAGTATGAGTGTGGTTTGTATTGGAAACATTCTAGAAGATGAGGGAGTTAATTTGTTTGTAGTGGGAGTAGAGGGCAAGGGTCATGTAATACTGCCTTCCATTTGGCCGTGCCAGCATGTTAACTAGTGTAGATGAAGTGAATGGAGATGACTCCAGACTGGCACGAACAAGACCGCGCTGATCAGGTTTTCAGGCACACCCATCGAAGACACATGCAGCATATTTCAGACCCGCTGAGTGTGCCCATTCATGGAAGCTTATGGGGAATTCAAGCACATAATCATTAAAAACAGAAACAAGGCTGCTGTACTAAGACAGCAAGAACAAGTGGGGCAGGCAGTAGCAGACTGACTGAATGCATTAAGTTACCTAAAAATATATATTTTCTAACCACTGTTCTTAACTGAAACCATATGTTCATCAGGAAATATACCATGAAGATGAATTACAACCACTAATGCATAAATACGATTCATTCTGCAGATGGTGGAATCTGGGTGATATGAATCTGGTGAAATGTGGCCAGTTCATTTTTACATATCTAAACTTCTTGTCAGCTACCTTTTAAACATGATAAGTCCACAAAGAGTAGATCTTAAGTATGAGCCTATTTTGGGTGACTGATATATATTTGATATTAATAATAATAATTAGCTATTTTTATTTCAGTGTTCTATTTAATACAACCTATGTAATATTAAGAATGAGACAGAATTAATTAATAAAACTAAATTTTAAATGAGAAGGCCTAAGTGCCTCCACTTCCATGAAGGGTAATGATCAAAGTAACAAGACAATTCCTTGAACTTGGCATTTTAAATAATTTGCTAAAATTAATTATTAAATAGTGACCATTAAATGGATAAACTTCGTTTTGTCATTGCAAGCACAGTCCTTATGTGTATAATATAATTAATGTGATTATCTTGTCAACTTGAAGGATTTTGGTGTTTGCAAAAATAGCCTGAGTGACGGCATTTCCACTTTTTGTGGAATGACATATGTATACTGTGTATATATATGTGCGTGTGTGTGTATGTGTGTGTGTGTGCGTGCGTGTGCGCGCGTATGTGTATTACATCTTCTCAACCAGTCCACCACCAAATATTGAAATGAATATTACAGTAAATCTGTTTTAGTGTGCTCACTTACTGAGATTTTTTTTTCCTGTCTGCCTCTGCTTGTCATTGGTAGAAACAAAGCTTTTCATACCTTGCAAGAGGCCCTCAAGTGTAATTATGAGCACTGGCAGATATGGGAGAACTTCATTGCAGTGAGCACTGACATCGGGGACTTTGCTGAAGCCATTAAGGCCTACCACCGTCTGATGGACCTCAGAGAAAACTACAAGGACATCCAGGTAAAGGGCTTTTAGGTGGCTTATAAGATACAAGTTTTCTGTTAGTTGTAAAGTAAATATGAAGTCCAGTATTAAGATTTACAAGGTAAATTTTGATAATATTTTCTAAGATCATTGTAAAATAAGCTAAAATTCTGCTATTTTCACAGCTTCTTTATTGTATGTTGTGGCAAACCAAAGTCTGCAGGTATTAATGACAAATGAGCTTTTAATTTCAAAAGGATTTCAGAAGAACCATAGACAGTGTATAAAGTGGATGTAGCAAGGTATTATATCACTCATTTGTTGGCATTAGAGCCAGTTTGAAGCCTAGATTTTCAGCACCATCTTCTCTGGTTGGGGCAGGATCATCCCTATAAGGAGTTTGAGGTGTTGGCTTTGCTCCGCTACCTTGAATGGAATGCTAGCTTACTGAAAACACCAGCCACACTTCCCTTACTTCACACAGTGCCAAGTATTTAACAGTAATGTCAACTTCATCTAATGTATACAAACGCTACAAATCCCTCCAGAGGCAGAGTTGGCCATCACCAGCTATCTGGCAGACCATATAATGCAAATGTATTGTACATACCAACTTACTGCTAACGTAAGCTAATCTAGCTGATTGATGCTAAGAGACATGGTATTGTAATCAAGTAATGTTAATACATCAGCCTCCAGCCGTGGTTGTTGCTGTCTGGGAAGAACAGAACAATGGGCCTCATTCACCAACTGTTCTTAAGAACAGATTTCAGGAAGATTCTGGCATTTTCCTATCTGGGATTTGTTCTTAGATAGAAACAGAATCTACACACACTAAGGAGCACACTTATGCACATTTGAATGCTGACATGTTTGTGTGAAATAACTGGTTATTTAGTTTTCTTCAGTTCTACAGTTAAATAATATTATAAGGTTTAAATTATAACAGTTTTGTCATTATTAATAGTTCTGTAACTTCAAATTCAATTTGTTTGTATAGCGCCAATTCACAACAGTCATATCAGGACACTTTACATAATCAGGTCTAGACCTTAAACTATTATAGAGGAAAAGAAAAGGAACAAGACAACAAAAACAAATCAACAACCAGACAAACACAGGTAAATGTGGCATTAATTTGTGTAACTCATTATTTTACAAAGCATTATGGATTTTAAAGGCAATAAACGCCACACTAAAATTAGAATGAGTTTAATAGTTTGTTTATAAATCAAGGTTTTGAAAATAACTTTTAGAGTGTGATTATTTGTAGCCTAGAATTGAGAAATGCATTACTTAAAACCAAAAACGTTTAAGTGCACATCATTATTTCCATCCATCCATCCATCCATTTTCTTCCGCTTATCCGGGGCTGGGTCGCGGGGGCAGCAGTCTAAGCAAAGATGCCCAGACCTCCCTCTCTCCAGACACTTCCTCCAGCTCCTCCGGGGGAATGCCGGTG